TGGTGTTTTTGGCTAGCCTTTAACCCAGTTGTAGCATTTTATTCAAAGGGCTGCAGATTGCAAGCATAAAGCATTAGACATGTTAGAAAGACACCACACATTCACATAATTCTGCTGCAGCTGCTCCTTTTATAGGAGGGAAGCTAACAGATGGTGAAGTTAGCCACATTAGCATAATCCTAACACTAAAGATTTAAGGATATTCCTATTGTTGTGGGGACATTGCTATGGAAAACTAAAAGTACTTTACTTGGTCACTTCCTCAGATCCAGGGAGTGCCCGAAGACTCGACAGCAGAGCATTAGGTGTGTGTTCCTCACAGCAAAGGAATTATAGAGTTCGTAGAAGTGACTTTAATTGAAAATAAAGCAACTGACTACATCTAAATTGAATTAAGGCTGCTCCTCATTCTTTGTTAGTGAGCATGTCAAACCAACCGACTGCATAAACTTCATGACATTGTGTCACAGTGACATAACTAAGTAGCAATACAGAAAAAAGCCTGGAGTGTAAAGAATGTATTTGAGACATTACAGCAGCAGAGATTTTGCTTTCATTTGGCCACACGTGAAAGTTTGGCCTTTGAAAGTTTCCAGACCTCTTACATGAACAAAAGGCTGCGTAACAGATTAGAGAGTTGAGGAAAAACTTAAAGCATAATAGGGGCACTTTAGGTCAGCCATCTCCAGTGTCAAGTTTCTGCCACCATTACCATGGATACTGGATGAGCTTGCTTAAAACTAAAATATTTGGGCCTAAAGCCATAACTAATTTATGCCTGTTCTTTGTGATGATTATTACTAGAGTGTACTGCAAGCATGCAGAATATCAGGCCATACAGGTGAAGTTCCCTGCCAAAGCTCCTCACACAGACTGTTAGAACAGTGAATAGATAATTAATAATATCATCCTTACTGTCAAACTGTTATTTATAAATGCACTGTTTGATCACTGTTCCATTCAACCCTCTGCAGAAGTTAATTTTGTTTGCATCTAGTTGGCAGTTTATTTTGTCTTTGCCATTTAAGAGCAACAGAGGCTAACTGGTCAATAACCATATTAATATACTGTAAGAGTATGCTTGCTGGTCTCAGGAATGCCAAGATGCACTTCAATTTTGGCATGCAGGCTGACTTTCTCTTTTCACTTTAATCTATCATTTGTGCTGAGTCTTGCAGAAGCAGTGAAGAGATTATTTTCACTGCGGGCAATCATTTCAGCTTAGCAGTGCATGTCTGGTAAGAGGAGAGGAAAAAAATATAGCCATACAAATATGCAAAGGCTTGTGTCAGAACCCCTAATGATAACCATACATGACTGTTGCCTGGGTTTCTATTAAATATGAGCCCAAACTATATTTAAAAGCTGTCAGGCATGATGGCAGGCCAATTATTTCAATGCAGGAACAAAGTTGGTTACATCCAAATCTACGACATGAAGAAGATGGGAAAGGCAAGATGACAAAACCTCGTTACGTTTGATTTCAGTGGTCATTTCACTTGAGTTAAGATTCAAATGGATTTGCAATGTAAACGTGCACTGAAAAAAAAAAAAACCACCAAAATTATTGTGTTGTGCTGATTAAAAAATAGAAATAAGACAAGAGGTGTAGTTTGCACGTACTCTGTCTCTCTAGAGACCATTAACAAAAGTCTAGTAGATAAAGAGTAGCATATTTCTGTTTTCCAGAACTCTCCATTCACTGATTTCTCTCTTTGGGCTTTGAAATGCCACACACTACAGCTTTGTCCCTGAGGAGTACTTTTGTTCCTGTATGTAAATTATTAATAGATATACATATTGCAGTGCATCTTTTTGACTGTTAGAAATTTGATACACTTGTACAAGGCATAAAGAGCACTACAATAATGTAACATAGTGCTTTAAATGCAAAGGAAATCTACCACAGTGGATATTTGCCAGTGATCGTAGTCACTATAAAACAGTCGTGAAATATTGTTTACTAAATTTCTTTTGTTGATCAATTTGCCTTATATTTTCATTTCGGTTTAGACCGTACATTTTGCCTTGAAGAAATTTTCACAATATTCTTAGAATAAACAGGAAGAATCATATTATAGTAAGGACAACTGAATGATCAGTTTCTAGTTCAACTCAAGTTCAGTATTTCATTGTGGGCTGGAACCACAGAATCCATTTTTGACCTTAATAAGAATAGCGTGGCCATGGAGTGCTAGATGGTATGGATTATTTCATTAAGATTTACTTCTTAATGTTTTTCTACCATTTTTACAGCTTTTTTATATTCTTTTTAATCATTATTTTTTACTGATACATGTAAGCAAGTGTTATGCATTATGACAGGAACAGGCTAAAGTAAACTACGTTTGTTTAGTGTATTATTCTTTTTTTAAATTACCAAATTTCATTTTTGTATGATCTAATCATAAAAAGGCAAAGGCTGCCAGTGTAAGTTGGACTGGCAAATCCCAGGTGAATTGTGATTCACAAAGAGCAAGAGAGGAAAGGAAAGAGTGAAGAAAAGCCTGTCTCCCTGTCTGTTTGTTTGGGTTTTTTTTTTAATGAAATGGATGTGTAATTTATTATCTAGAGAGATCATGTGTAAGCAGAAGAGTTGTGTATGTGTTGTGGTAGATTGTAAGCTGTAGTATGTTAAATGACAGCCTGACTGGGTTGAAAACACTGTTCAGATCTACTGTCAGGCTGTCACTGAGTTGACGTACTGTACTTGTAAAGATTTTTTTAACCACTATTATTACTACTACTGTAAGGCAGATTGCTTGTGTTAATTTATTAATTTATTGTATGTGTGTGTGTGGTTTTTTTTAGTTGATAATAGTAAAAAAAGAAAGAAGGAAAGAAAGAAAACAACAACAACCATCAAACAAGGAATCTTCTCTCTACTAACACTGATGTATACAAACTGTCTTGATTTTGAAGCAATATGAGAAAAACAATGACAGTGGTATTGTGGTACAGTTAAATTGGAATACACAAAAATACAATACTTTGTTATTCCTGTATAATGGTAGGCTTACAATGTGGACGTAGAATAAAGCAAGAAGTGAAAGTTTGGTGTTAAAGTTCTTTAAATGTAAACCTCATCTTTCAACCACACTTTCTCCTTTAGTTGTAAACTGAACACAGTGGTGGAGCTCTTACTGTCCACACACAGTAAACTGTGGCTGCTCCCTTTAGGAGGTCACCACAGCAGATCATCTGTCTCCATCTCAGCTTATCTCTGCTATCACACCAACCGCCTGCATGTCCACTTTCACTGCTTCCCTAAACCACCTCTGTCCTCTTCCTTGTTTCCTCCCCCCTGGCAGCTCCATCTTCAATGTCCTTTGTCCAATATGTCCACTATCCTTTCACTGTAAAAGTCCAGTCCAGCTTGGTCACTCCCAATGAAATTAGCATCTTCAACTCTCACACCTCCAGCTTTACCTCCTTTTGTGTGTGCCACTATCTCCAAACCATAGATCACAGCAGAACTCACTAGCATCTTGAATTGCTAGTAATACCAAAATAAAATACCTTAGAACATCTTCCAAAACAGAATATACAGACGTTAAATGTATGCTGCCCTCTGTTGTTAAAGAAAGCAGCTGCAGTCAAGTACTAATAAAACATTAGATGACAAGCTCCTTTGGGTTATGCCCAAAGATGCATTTAGAACCAAATTGGAAAATGCAGATTATCGTACTGAAATACAGATATTTTTTTAAAGGGTTTCTACAGGATTCCTCGTCTTTAATAAGCCTGCTACTTCTTAAATAATGACTGTTATTATGCTTCAGGATCATTTTCCAGTAATGACCACTGGGTGGCCATGCCATTTCCCATAAAGAGAATAAAAATGATTAATAAGCAAAACATTTCTTAGTCAGCCAAGACCCTGATGAAGATTAGTTAACTGAATGACTGAGGGAGGCATCTATACATATAGGTAATGAAATATCCATCATAAAGAAGGGCCTAAAAGGGAGGGGAGAGTGTGGGTTGGCAGATTCGTGAGAGCGTTTTAGGTTTTAATCATATGCGTATGGGTTAACAAGTTGGTGGCCGCTAGTCTTACAGTCTGCCGCTATCAAAGCAGCCCCAAAGACAAATAGTTAATTTATTATACTAATTACACTTGGAAAAGGCTTCAGTGTTGAACGGAATTGATTTCTTCTTGAACTCTGTGTGGACTTCGCACGATCTCCCCATATTTGTGTGGTTTTCCTCTGGGTGCTCAAGCAGCTTCCTTCTGCTTTACAGAAACATGCATCCTGTGTGAGCGAGTTTCTGCGTGATTCTGTGGCTGTATCTTAATCTCCTATATCTCGTTCCCCTGAACCAGATACGATTAACTTCAAACAACAGCCGGTTAATGAATGAAAGGGCAATAAATTGCTTTGAGAAGGTGTAAAATCAAAACAAATATAGTCGAATGCACTTTTGTGATTGTTATATTTGAAAGCTACTGAGTACATTTACCCAACTTTTAAGATTTACAGAAAGCTGAAAGTTACCAAAGATTTGAGGCATAGCGGGCTAGACACATAAGACAACAGTATAGGAACATGTCAGCAGCCAATCAGCTCATTTGAGCGGTTCTGTAGGCTCGCTTGGTTAGTTACTCTGCGTGTTAACTCAAAAAAAGATCAAAGAATACTTCTGGATTTAACTATTCTTTTCGTGCTTTAGTTAATTATCTAAATATGTTTTTCATTTGTGTCTTTAAATACAGGATGAGTAAATGTTCGATAACATGTGTTAGTTGATTAGCTTGACCAGGTGGCAGACAGAACAGCGGTGCCAGGTTGACCCTTCACTGCTCCTTCGGTTAGACAACAGTGTTCAAATTTTTAAAATACATTATAAGATTCCCTCCGTGTCACCGTTCACGCCTTGCAAGACAAGTTCAGGCTTTTCTCCACTAGAGTGTGCCACTGGACCCCCCTTTTTTTTTAACCATACCAGTTCATGTCAAAAGCAGAATGTTCGTACAATAAGGGTCTGTGTAAGTAGCTCCGCTATTGCCTTCGTGTACCACACGGACAAACGATTGTCAATGGACTATTTGAGACGGATTTCAGTCGGCTTCTGCGACGACTGCCTGCGTTTAGGGGGTCTGGGTTTTTTGGGTTTTTTTTTTTACTTGTTTGCAACCAGATTCCTATCCGGATTGAAAGGAAAGCAACAAAGAAAAGGACTCATTTCGAAACAAACAAAAAAATGCCGTGAGTCTTGAAGTTTAGTGGATTTCGTGTGTTTGTTGGTTCTTCTATTTTTGCAGCCGGTCGCTCTCACTCAATTTATAGTCGATAGTGTACTCTTGGACTTGGCGTTAACGAGAGTGGTACAATATTTAGATAAAGTAGGCTGAAAATGTAGCTACTCGGAATGTACCACCAGTGAAACCGAAGTTGTGCGTGCCGTGGGTTTGAATTATCTAAGGGATTCATATTGAATATAACCTATTTATCTGTGAGCAGAGCTCCAGTCGTTAAGCAAGAGCGGATTCATTCCAGCTGCGGAGCCTTTCATGTTTGTAAATCATTTCACGTTTAATTATAAGCTGACAGAGCCTATCCCCCGAGGAAAAACTACTACAATTCTGTAACTTTGAGACTTTTAATGCATGTTTTTAATCCACGTGGAGCATAGCATGATTTTACATGGAGCGTATCTTAATCTTTAATCTTTTATATCATATAATATCATAGTCCCAGTTTGACAAGATAATTGGCTCACATTTCAACACATATCATAGGCCATAGTGACTCCTCTCCAGAGACTACAGCCAAGTATTTTTCTTTTTCACATGGGATCATTGGAAGTCTTCAGTACGTTTTCTTGTTTTCTTCCATGCCCGTTCTGTGGTCCACTGTAAGCACAGTGGACCTCAGTCTATAAACTTATCAGGGACCTGCGGGCATGGGAGAAGCGACCCCCGCTCAGTCTGCTGCAGGGACATACGTACCCATGTTGGGTGTTGGTTTAGGAGCTATGCCCGGTGGGGTCAGCAACGGGCCGGTGGTGGCCAGCTCAAGGGGCTCCACAGTGCCACAGCTGCACAACGCCATAGTTGAGCGTTTACGCGCCCGGTTAGAGACGTGCAGGAGGCACCATTCTACCTGCGCGGACCGCTATCAGCGAGGTCAGGCCGAGAGCACAGACCGGGAGCACGAGAGTACGCTTCAGCTGCTTAGCATAGTCCACCAAGGTCCTGGGAACCGTAAAGCAAAAGGTAGCCGGGGATCGAACCAGCAACCCCCAGACTACAGCAGGGCTAACGGAGAGCAAAAGGGGTCAGATGGCGAGCAGAAGATCCCCACACGCATAGCGGTGAGTTGCTGTTAATGTTGTCTGTCAAGGTTCTCAGTTATCCAGGTCATCGTAGTCTATGGAGCTTGGAAAGAATAGCATCTGGACTTCTTTAAGTTTCTTTGAAGACGATTCACCTCTCATCCGAGAAGCTTCATCAGTTCTAAGAGCAACTGGTGGATTGTCCCAGATTTTAAGCCCTACGGGAGTGTCCCCAAGAGGGTCATGGAGCGCCTATTGATCTTCTACCTAATCACACAAGCCAAGGTGTGAAAACGGGTGTGGGCCACAATCAGCCAATGTTTCCGGTGAACCCAATGTGAAACCTAGCCCCACCCTATCATGTGATTTACTGAGGTCAAATGGCCCAGGATGTGAGTGGGCATTAAGGCGTCTGGGAAGGGATCTCAAAACTGGATTATAGATGGCAGACGGTTGGTGTGGTAAGCCAGCGCCTACATTCAAAGATGGCCGTTCACAGTGGCTTCTTTCACTCCTCTTTCAAACCGTCTGTCTTCTCTGTCCAAAATGTGAACATTGGCATCCTCAGCATCCAGAAACACCTCTTTAAGAAAACCTAAAGAAGTCCAGACGCTTTTCTTTCCAGGCTCCTTAGACTGCCGATATTGTTGTGTTGTTTGTTTTTTAACATAAATAATTAGGACTATTACAATCAAGCTTGTGGCAGCGATGACAAAATTGATAACAATGATGAGGGTACCAGTATGTTGTAATGGGGGTGAAACGCCTAAAGTTATGGCCATTCTCAAGGACCACAACATTGAGACTGAGATTTTTTTTTATTTTTATGCTATGTGAAAAATCAGCTGGGAGCTTTCCTTGGCGATAATGGATCAATAAATGTTTCTACATTGATAACGCTGCTGTCACTATCCATGAACAAAAAGTCCAAGCTTTTTCCAAACTTAGATGGCAGCCAAATGCATGTCAAAAACAGTCAGGAAATGTTCTAAAACTCTAAGTTCCTGATTAAGGGGGCCCTTAAGGTAGATGGCATGATACAGAAGCGTTACGCTTGTTTGCAAAGCAATCCATTTTGAGGAAATGGTTTTGGGGTCATTGGGCCATGGGGATGTTTTGCATTTACTGCAAACCTTGACAACATAACAACCATGCAGCTGATCCAAACAGAGGGATGCGGATGCATTTTGTGGTTTGTTTAACCCATTTAATATGCACTGTTATGTCATTTTTTAAAATTGTTTTTGTTTCTGAGTTATTCTGTTGAGATTGAGAACTGAGTAGTTGCATGACCTTGTGTGCCACTGAGAGTACAGGACAGTGTTTTCTCCCCTAACAGCAAAGCTTCACATAGGACATAGGTAGGCAGGATAGGAAAACTTAACTGTGCTTTCTGTGTGCCTGGTAGTGCTGATAGGACTGACTTCCTGTATGGCATCTGTTAAGGGAGCAGTCACTGAGATGTGAGATTTATTTAGTTGTTTTCTTTCACTGGGCATGGGGGAGTTTAGCGTCTAGCCTATTACTTCCCAAGCAATAATGTCAAAGGTTGAAAGCTTGCAGACATTCTTTTTCTAGATGTGGTGAAATAAACAATATTTCATACATATATTTTATTTTTTACCAATAAAAATATAAAATGCATTAATGTTTCACATACAAGAAAAGCAGATTCTCTGTGGTTTATAGAGTTAGTTTAAAATGCAGTTTACCTCTCAGCTTTTACATTTTCATGCTGATCGGTAGAGCCATGGCAGTGGAACACGATGAGAGACAAGACACAACTTCATGGATTATACTGGCTGTCTAAAAGAGGTCAGGGTACATCATTATCATGTACCGTTTCATTTTTACTGATCTTGACTCTGGAGTAACATGTTCTATTTAAAACTGATGAGTGCAGCAAGATAGTGAGGAGGAAATGAAGTCCTGGCGTACATGTTTATATCAACCCCGAGGTTAATGTTTTCGCAACGTATAATGATCGGGTGAAGCACAACAGCCGCTCTTGCAGAAATCCTGTTTAATGCCAGTATGTTGCATGTATACAGTCTATATATATCCTTATAACTCTTGCCACCAATTTATTTATTTTTTTAAATTTATTATCATCTTTGGCTATAATAACTGAAAGCTGCTTCAAATATGTATGGGGGTTCTGCAGAGTTCACCATAATTCATTCTTCAGAATTAAAAAGTAAGACATCTCAAATGACCACATCTGTGCATGTTATTGAGTGTTCACATTGGAATTTGCAGTGGAAATGTATACTGAGTTAGGGGCAAACAACACAATGGATTATGACTGCTTGGGAGTGCAGAGTGAGCAGCAGCACTTAACAACAGTGCTCATTGAGACCAGATTAACAAAGGATATTCTTTTAGATGAAATTGGAGAAATTTGAAGGAAGAGACGAGAGCATACTTATCGACTCGGAAAATCGTTTTCCTTAATGCGTGGATGAACTCATTGAAAGCTTTTGGATATTCATATTTTAGATTGTTTCTTTTCATGGCCAGTTTTCCAATTGTTCCCTTCATACCTGTATCAGAAAATGTATTCAGCACAGAAATAGGTCACACAGTAGAGCTTACAAAACATTAGCCCCATATTACAATGAACAGACATTCAGTTTCATCAGATCAGGATCCAACAATCATCTTACATTGTCTGTCAACGATACAGATAGTGAGCACAAAAATGAAAGGCTTAACAAACAACCATACAGCCTCGAAGCATACTAGCATGCCATGTAATGCCATGTTATATTATCATGTGTTTAACAAATGGCTCACTAAGCACCTTCTTGATAGATTTGCCGGCCATGAAACTGTTTGAACCACAAGGTCCCCATATAAATGTTTAGAGCCACTGAATACATTTCCTGCATGTGTTTACTTTAAGTCAAACAGGCCTTGAAAATGCAGTAGGCGAAGGATGCCTGGTGATTAACAGTGCTATGTGCACAGGGAGGATTTTGTTATTACTCAGTCTTGTAGTGACAGATCTGGGAAGTATACTCATAGAGCAGCATGCACACAAAGTGCTCATATGCTGAGCTGTTTTCCTATTATTTTAAGCACTTGTGACCTTGTTTGTCTGCCATACAGGTTTTTTGTAAAAACTGTAGCCTTAGTCATACTGGTCAGTTAGTGGTTTGAAACATAAATCATGTAACCACAGCCAGCTCTAGCCAATGACTTCTGGTTATCTATCAATTTTCCGTGACTGTGTACTGTGAGTCCTGTAATAAAGGCAAATTCCCAAAATATTATTTTGGCTTTGTGTGCTAATTTGGCACAATTGCCTTGGCAAACTGAATAAAAATTGGCAGTTGTAGTTGTTTGGACTTTTAAATGTATGACATTTATTTTACAAGATAAAGAGGGTATGAGAAACCATGTCATTTGGACATTTTTAAAGCTTGGAAAGGAAGCTAATTTCCGCTCTCAGGGAAACCCTTTTTACTATGAAAATGGCAAACATGAGGGATTATTGGAATGCTGGGTAGAGGTTGGAAAGACTGGTTGTTTGCACTTTTCATGATGTTCTTAACTTGAAGATCATCACCCCCTCAAAGAGGCTGAAGGATTGCAGAGTGATTAATAGGACAGGAAAGGAGAAAAAATACTAATCAAAATTTTGTTTGGTCTCTTAGGCTTTGAACTAATGTAGCTTTTGCGCAAATGCTTGTGTAACACTGCGCTTTTGACTTAGTGCATCATCTAGGATATCACTAATGCCAATTGAAGGTTTTGCAGCGAAATTGTTTCTCGCCTATTTACTAGTGCACTACTACATGGGTCAGAATTAAAATTTATGAATTTATAATTTATTGAGTTTCGAAAGCTTAAATATTGTCACAAGACTACAACTTCTGGGTAAGCAGATTGACAGTAAGCAGATTGACAGCTTGCTAAAAAAAAATCCCACAGAAAAGGAATACCTTGCACTTATTCGTGGTCATGTATGATGGAGTGGATAGTGTGTGCATGTGTGTGAATGTGGGGTGGGGTGTGTGCTGTGTTTCCTGGCATACCCTGTTTGGCTGTTGAACAGCCTGAATCAGATGCCGGTGGTCTGATCTCAGCCTGGCTCGGCAGTGATGTGAAACAATTAGCCCAGGTCCATGGGGGCCACCCACTGTGAAGCCCATAGCTCTACCCAACTCTGTGGATGCAGAAAGGGATCCGTGTTCATCCCACAGATCACTTCCATGTTGTCATGGATAGGTTACAGTCTTCTTTTAGAAATAGCTTGCTGCCAGTTGGTCTGAATGGTGAATTACTTTAAGTCCCCTGCAGAGCAGAATGGAAATTCTGTGGGTGCTGTTTATTGACAGCATGGCTACACTTTAAGCCTGATGTGATTACGCTTGTCTCATTGTGCAGACCGTTAGCTGCTAGATGAGTTGAGCATCTCATAGTGCTCTGATTAAAAGACATTAAGATAGGCCTCCATATACTGTAGTAAAGCCATCTGTTAATCTCCTCTTTCTATTTGGGATTAGTCATCCGTCCAACTTGTGGTTCAATTCTACTTATGGGTAATAATAATAAATATATTAAAAATGTTCTATTATTACTTTTTTTTTGTTGCTACAAGAAAGACATATCTTTAGAATTGTCATCATGCTCTTAAAAGATAGACAAAGCAGTTTAGTCAGTGGGGTGCTTACTGAGTAGTTATATTATTTATTTAACAAATTAGTAACGTACCTTTTTATTGTTCAAATGCTAAAAAACTTGGAGGATTGAAAGGTTTTGGAATTCAAAGATTTTGGGTTGATGTAAAAGCTTAATCTAACAAAGAAAGAATGAGTTGAAAGTGATATATACTTGTATTACTGAGTTTGATATGCTCAAATGTTTCCCGATTAATCAAGGCAGTAATGTCTTTTCAAATGTATGACCTATTCATATATAGGTTTATGTCCTGTTTCTTCTTGTACAGAAGAGATCCCCACATTTTTGCATAGAAAAACATTAAAACAGCCTTTTTACAGTCAAACAGTCAGATTTACTGTCTTATGCAATAA